TGCCCTACTCCTTTGAGCCACAGGCACTGCCCTGATTTTTCCTTTCTTAGTGTGACTTTACTATGCCCTTTACTTTAAGTAACATTAATTGCATTTGCAATATTTGGTATTTATAGTGTCCTAGACACCATATGTTGATTTATTTTATTTTCACGCTGGCCATAGAATGTGAGTGAAGGCATTGTACACGGGATCATTTGTTTGGATGACTATAAATAAAGCTTCAAAACAAGAAGATAATTTTGATAGTGTATTTTGAAAGCTTCAGGAAGACCACTGCTGCTAAACTACTTTAAAGATCTGGAAGAAAAACAAACGAGCATGTAATGGACCCCCACTGCATGCAAACACCATGCTCTGCCTGTGACATTGAGCATGCTCTGCCTGTGAACTTGAGCTTCACCTTTGACAAACACCCTTCAGTGTCAGGACATTCAGCTCCACTTGACTGAAGAGAAAGACTCCCAGATTAGGTATGTGTGTATTACAGTGTTGAAAGAGCAATATAGCATTGGTGGTTGATCATTAAAAATATATTTAGAATATATTACCCAAGGACGACTTTGAAAGGGTTGAACATGGGTAGAGTTCATTGGTAGAGTCATTAGGTTGATAAACATTTTTTTCACCTACATTTTCATCTAATTTTTTACTTTGTAATTTTAAATGTTTTACTATGTACTAATTTTATGTGCTACACTTTTAATTGCTTTTAATTGAGGGACGTGAAAATGAAGTAGAAGTGATATTAGGTAACACAGAGATGGCAGATATTCACAGGCAATTGGGAAGAGAAAATGGTCATTCAAAAAAATTACTCCAAATTGCCTTGTCTTTTTTTTTTTTTTTTTTTTTTTTGAGGCTTGTACAGAAGGTCTTTATTGGTGGGGGGAGGGAGGCTGCAGAACAGCACTGAGGAGGAGAGAAAAGAGAAGAGAAAAAAGGAGAGAGAAGAGGGGAGAGAGATAAGGAGAGAGGGGGAAGAGAAGAGAGAGAGAGAGAGTAGAGCGAGGGGGAACCAAATTGCCTTGTCTTGAGAGAGCGACATATATATACACATATAGTATACAGCCAGTGCTTAATATTTTCACTCTGAAGTGCTCAAGGCCTCAAGTATTGATAAAAATTTCACCAAGTCTATTAATTCAAGAACTAGTTTTAAGACATAGAAATAAACAGCTGATTTTATTTTGTATAAACTGTGTGTTAGAGTTAATGAAAATGTCTCCTTTCATTATATGAAACTCAACATCAGATATTAGGTTTAAAGTAATGTCAAAAAGAATAAGTGACAGGAAGTCCACATTACCAGTTCTTTATTTCTTCATACTACTTGAAATGTTCAGGATTCTTCTGCTTTCTTCTTTTGTCAGTGGAATCTGATATGGTCCAGCACTTAATCATGAAGAAGAAATAAAGTTGAATCAATCTAGTGTGTTTTTAAAATTCAAAGCTTTAAACTGGACTGGCTGTGCGTGTGCACGCGTGTGTCTCGCACGTGCCCGCATGGGGCGGAGCATGGCTGTGCGCGTGCACGCGTGTGTCTCGCACGTGCCCGCATGGGGCAGAGCATGGTTGTGCGCATGCATGCATGTGTCTCCCACGTGCCCACGCGGGGCGGAGCATGGTTGTGTGTGTGCATGCGTGTGTCTCGCACGGGCCCACGCGGGGTGGAGCATGGCTGTGCGCATGCACGCGTGTGTCTCGCACGTGCCCGCATGGGGCAGAGCATGGCTGTGCGCGTGCACGCGTGTCTCGCACGTGCGTCTCGCACGTGCCCGCGTGGGGCGGAGCATGGCTGTGCGCGTGCACGCGTGTGTCTCGCACGTGCCCGCATGGGGCAGAGCATGGTTGTGCGCGTGCATGCATGTGTCTCCCACGTGCCCACGCGGGGCGGAGCATGGTTGTGTGTGTGCATGCGTGTGTCTCGCACGTGCCCACGCGGGGCGGAGCATGGCTGTGCGCATGCACGCGTGTGTCTCGCACGTGCCCACGCGGGGGCGGAGGAGCACACCGTGACAGCAGTATTCGGTTTCCTTAGTTCTTGCCTTTATTCTCAGGTTCTCAGAGAGTGGCCTGAAGATGGGGCCTTGATTCTCTCACTTAGAGCCCGGGCATCACTAATTTTATATGAAACAAGTCATCAAAAATTCAGTATGGAACAAATGCATATTTATGCGATTCTGTAAATGAACTATAAATAAACCATCAGGATGCTGTGTGGATCACACTTACAGGTTCCTTCACATATATTCTTTAACTTCATATAAAATAAAAATACTATAAAAATGTATACAGGGCATAAAGTTTTAAGCAGCTGTTATATGAATTTATTGTAAAATTCTTGGTAATGATTCTGATATTTTGGTTTGATGGATTTTATTCCCTCAAATGACTAACAGAAATACAGAGTTGGACTTAGGCCACATCTCATTTTGATAAGACAGTAAAATGTTTTATATACATTTTGAATTTAACTTTTGCAATAGCATTATGCAGTGTATCCAAATTGTCATGTTGGATATGCACAAAATAAAGCATTTGTAAATTTCCATATTAAATTTTTGGATATATCAAGAACATTTGAAATATTATTTGTATGTTTCTCTTTTCCTCTGTTATATTTTAATTTGCTGTGATACAGAGAAATTAAATTTAAAGTATATCTTAGTATGATTTTACATCTATGAATCATAATTTAACATAAGGAAGAATAAAATGTTAGGGTAGTAAATTTCTTTTAATTAAAATATTCCTTTGGTGGAAGGAGACATTCCTTTAAGATTCTGGATATTTATCAAGGACTCTCATTGGGTTTCAAAATATCTTGTTCTTTACTTATGTTAAATCTAGGAGAAATATCTTTGATTTATTCCAATTAAGACTATCACTACATTGTGTTATGGGTTAGGAATAAATTTATTGCCTGTCTTCACACTTCACGACTATTTCATTCATGACTTTTTTTGTTCACTGATGAATCTCTAGAACAGTGTCTGCCTTACTGTAAGATGTTCAATGTTTATATTTTGGGGTGTACTGTAAATGTATAGTATAAAGGTATAATTGTCAAAATGTTCAAAATGAACTGTACTGTATAGTATATGTATAATGTAAATGTATAGTACAGAAGTAAAATTGAGTTTAAATGTTGAAAATGAACTATACCATATAACAATATATAACATAACGTTTATTGATGTGAACATGTACAAGTTTATATTTGTTGTTGAGTCAGTTGCTTTCTTGGGAGTTTCAAAGATAACACTTTAAAAAATAGTTTTACTTGAGGATCACTCCTATTTGAATTAATTTGCTAAACCTCTGTATAGATTTGTTTTTTTTTGTCTTTTCCCAGCCAATCCCTAAGTTATATTTTGAAGGTCCTACACATTCGTTAAATAGACAGTGTTATCTGACTGCTCTTCAAAAATGCTCTTACTATAGGAATTTAGCTAACTGCATTAAATATGACACCAAAAAATGGGTTTAAAATACACCCCAACAAAGAAAATGATGTGTTCTTCAACATTATGGCAAAGGAAACAAATTACAACAATAAACAAAAACTAATTCTTGTGTACCTCGAAAACGTATTCAAGATGCCAGGGACTCTGATTGGAAATTCAACATTTTCAGAAAAGTGTCCTCAGTAGTTTGTGATGTATTCATTTAAAAAATTAAGGAATAGATTAAGAACCCTTCACACTACAGTGTGACTCCAGAAAAACCACTGTGGACCAGTTTAATTTGATTATAAGAGTCTTTATTTTGTAAACTATACATAAACAGTAAAAAAGAAAATGCATTATACTTTATTACATATAATCAACATTAAAGTTTTAATTTAGTGTGTATAAATTAAATGGAAAGAATCCACCAACTTCGCTTTCAACGAACTGCATATCAGGAAAACAGCTGACCCACTATTGAAATTAAGGGTACCGATGTGGAACATTCAACAGGCTTTTCCGTTTTTATTGTGGGCACAAAACCATTGGTCTGATATACTTAAAAGTGACAGTGCGCCAAAATGTATACACAATTAATTAACATGCTAACTTAAATACAAGGCTTAAAGTAATTTTCGCTACAGTTAATTTTAAATGCTACTCTACACAATAATAGTAAACAGGTCCACATGGCAATTATGTAACCATAAAAAAGAAAGAAATATATTCCATTTTCTTCATTCCAGCAGCAGTACCTGTACTGATATTAATTTGTTATTTAGGTGTGCTTATATATTGCCTATTGTCCTATATTGGTACGCATGCTAAACCCTTTCTATTTCTATTTTTGCAAGGCACCATACAATACGATCTCTAAGTTTCAGCACTACTAACAAAAATGACATAATTCTGAGATTAAATGCAAATTTTAATCTGAAACAGGAAATAAAATGAGAATTAACATTAAAAAATTTGACCTTGGGGTAAAAGACAAAATATTTTTGAAGATACAGTTTAAATAAATTCCCTTTACCTATATCTTCATAATTTAAATTTTTCACCCTAAGTTGCTGGTCAGAAAGATAAAATAATCGAGAAAGGTTAAGAAATCTGCTGTTAAAGAATATTAAAAACATCTACACGAGACTGCCATCAAAATTAAAATACATGTTAGAGAGGACTACTACATTTTTAGCTTTCAGAATCCATGTTTTTTCCATACTTTCCATTTTGCAAAATATCCTATCATATCCCTAATAAATTCATAATAAAAACACCACCAGGAATGTAAACACAGTGGAGAATCTGCAATCGTCACTTCGTCTTTCTCAGCACGTGGTCTCTCTGTCTCGGTTGTCCTGACCCACTCCAGGTTTGTGAAGATGCTACTTCCCAAATACAGTTAAGGTCATGTATAATTTTATAAAACCCTGGGGCCAAGGTCACTAGTGAGTTATTGTTAAGTATGATTTAAACTATGTCTCAGGAAAAATAACACATGCAATTCCAAACACTGGCTGTCATTTTGTTTGTGTGAGATTTACCAAGTTTTTCTTATGAAAAGTGCATTTTAGTAGCTCCTCACGGCTCTCCCTGTCTGGCTAGACTCCATATGCGTTTTCTTTTTCTGTAAGGCATATAAAAACTCAAAGCAAACGATTCTTACTTAAACATAAAGTTCTATGACTTTCGCTTCAATATCTGAAATAATTATACAAAATATATGAGATTTAGAATCATTTTGTTGGGGGCAAGAAGGTAATTCTCAGCAGGCTGTCCCTTTGTAGGTCTTGGAAACGCAGCATTTATTAATCTCCTCTGTCGTCAGTCAAACGTATCCATCATGGCCGTCACCGTCGTCACCATCCTCTCCTCCGTCCTCGTCGTCGTTGTCAATGTCATCTTCTTCATTCACGATATCATCGTCAGCGTCCTCATCATCCGTCCATTCATGAAAATCTCCACTTGCAAAATCTCCAGAGATCTCAAAATCGGCAGCTTTAAAAAAGTAAGCATTCCCTTATTTGACAGAGTAGTGAGATAATTTCTGAAATACGTAAAATTCTGGTGAAAATTGAGAAATTAAAAAAATTAATTTGGTCTTTGGCTTATTTGATAAAGGTAAGGAAACACTGATTTTCCAGAAGAACTGCCAGATGTTAGAACACTGTAATTTGTTAAAATTTACATGTTGAAAGTGGAATCACATCTTATACTGTGTGACACTTTCAATCTAATAATACTGATCTCAGTCTAGTAAAACTGATCTTCAGTTTTCACAGGTGTTCATGTCAGACTTTAAATTTCACAAAGTACTTAACATTTCTCGTACAAGTGCTGTAGGCAAAAGTGATGCCTATAACCAAAATGTCTGTACCCCTGTAACATTCTGAAATAAAATAAATAAGTGGAATAATTTTCTTCCCAGAGATGCTCATTTTCAGGTCAACAGCACCCATCAGTATGTTACCTTACAGGTAAAAGTGCCTTTGCAAATGGGATTCAGGTAAGGACCTGCACCTGGAGGTCAAGGACATCTGGCATATCCAGGTTGTGGCTTGGGTCCTTAAAATCAAAAACCTTGTTCTAGGTAGAGTCAGAGGGAGAGAGGAGTACAGAAGAATGGTCAGAGATGCAAGCTTGTTCATTTGAAGCTAGAAGAAGGGGTCCATCTGCCAAAGAATATAAGCTGCCTCTAGAAGACCAAAAAAGCAAGGAAACAGATTTCCCTCCAAAGCTGACACTACAAAACAAAATGAAACCAACACAGGCTTTCTGCTTGATGTTTAGGTCAGTGACTTCTGATGTACAGAACTCTAAGAAAATAAATTGGCGCCTATCGAGACATCAAGTGGGCATTTGCTACTAGAATGATAGATAACTAGTAAAGCCAGTCAGTAGTTTAAAAAATACTTTTAAATTTTTAAAGAGCTATTCATATTTAGAGAGGCAAGAATGCACATACACCTCAGCATGGACTGACTCTCATCTCTTCGATGCTAGTTAGTGCGTATTTTCTACTCACTCTGTCATCTTAGTCTATAACTCTTTGGTAGTTATTATAATGCATCTTATTAATGGAATTGAATGTTTATAAATTAGTTAACCTCACAATACGACACAGTGAAATTCTCCTCTGCTATTGAGAAATGCTGTTTCTATTCTTAATGTCATGTTTTCTTACTTGCAACATGTTAGAGAAAACTTGTAAGTCTATGTCTCCAAAATAATTTTATGGTTCACTTACTGAACTTACCATGTCATTTAAATTTACAACATAAAAATAATATTCTTTATTCATCATTGATAACTGAAATAATTAGCAATGCAACTACTTTAAACTGCATATTACAAAGGCTTGTTCACTACATGTTTTAAAATTATATTCAGATGGCCATTAAGTACTACTTAAGACTAATAATGTTAGAAATGTTATTAGTTATAACAAATGCAATCAGTGTAACCAGTTCAATGGGAGAGTTCTAGAACTGGGTTACAGGTTCTCCCAAAAACCAAGATATTAAAAATGTGAAGGAATAAATTAATAAACGCAGAGCAGGAGCTTAAGGAAATTTAATTAGATTACTTTTTATTTCACACCATTTATCTTTTCCTAAATAATTTTGGTCTATCAGTCTAAAAATCTCGTGAAGGAGACACATGAATGTAAACATTTTCTAAAATGCAAGAATAAGTATTTTGTTTTAATTTTTGATCATTTTTTACATCAGTTGAAACACAATCCATTAATTCCTGGGGGTATGTGTGTTAAGCTAAGTGGCTTTTGTTGTGAAAACTCTTTAGAGCACAGACAAAAATATTGATGTGAAACTTGCATTCTGTAAACATATTTTATGAAGTACAGTAGATACCATTTAAAAACATTAAAATAGATATATGTGATGCTTAACTTGTTACTTTTGTTGATTTACACATAAATTCATATTCATAATAAAAATCAGAATTATAATTTTAATAATAATAAAAGTTATGATTATACTATAAATAATTAAACTTCATTTTTATCACCCTAACATAAGGAAACATGTTCATATAGCTGCAATTTGTGGAACTTTACTTTAGAAAGGTTCATTTGTTTTCAGCTAGTGAACCTTCATATTCCTAAAGTCACCCTCTCCAGAGGTAGGTGGACAAAAGTGCCCTCCAGGACAGTATGTACCCTGGGGGTCACTGACAAGTTCTCTCTTTCCTTATAGAAGCATTAGCTAACAGATTTCTGAATTTGAGGTAGGAAAGGAACCCAGCTTTTAATGGTTCTCCCTATAGTACCTAAATTATTTATTATTTGTAAGAGTTTTTAATCCCCTAGGAGCAAGCATTTTTAACACTCCCTTCACCACGTGTAATCTACAGTCTTTACATAGGTAAGTCTTTATTAAGTGCTTGGACAAATGAACAAAACTCTGAAGTACTCAGTCCTGTGCTCAGGAAATTATTGAATAAGTGACCCCTTCTCTTACCACAATCGGCAACACCATTTATTCTGGATCCCATGACCTCATTTCCGTATCTGTCAACACACCAGCACTGGCCAGCACTGCCATGGCACTGTGTCGGCTTGTAGTAGCCGTCCTCGTCACACAGAGGGAGGTACTGTCCTGTGAGACACACACAGATATGTCACACACACAGCTTCTATGGATGATGGTGCTTTCTTTTTTTCTTTCTTTTTCTTTTTTTGGTTGGGGATTCATTGAGGGTACAAATAACTGGGTTACACTGATTGAATTTGTTAGATGATAAAGACCTTATAATTGTGTCCCATCCCCAAAAGATGTGTTACACACTGTGACCCCTCACCCCTTCCGTCCTTCCCTCTCTCTCTGCTCTCCCCGTCCCCTCACTGCCCATTGTGTACTAGGTCATTAATTGTCCTCATATCAGAATTGAGTACATAGGATTCTTGCTTCTCCATTCTTGTGAAGTTTTACTAAGAATAATGTGTTCCACGTTCATCCAGGTTGATATAAAAGATGTAAAGTCTCCATCTTTTTTTTTAGTTTTGAAGTTTTGGCTGGGGCTGGGCTATGAACCTGCCACCCCCCGGTATATGGGGCTGGTGCCCTACTCCTTGAGTCATAGGTGCTGCCCAAAGTCTCCACTTTTTTTAGTGGCTGAATAGTATTCCATGGTATACATATACCACAACTTGTTAATCCATTCCTGGGTTGGTAGGCATTTAGGCTGTTTCCTCATTTTGGTGATTGTAAATTGAGCAGCAATAAATAGTTTAGTGCAAGTGTCCTTATGGTAAAAGGATTTTTTTAATCTTCTGGGTAGATGCCCAGTAATGGGATTGCAGGATCAAAAAAGCTTGATAACTAGGATCTATAGAGAACTCAAATTAACCAACATAAAAAGAGCCAACAATTCCTTATATCACTGGGCAAGAGAGATGAATAGAACCTTCTCTAAAGAAGACAGATGAATGGCTAACAAACATATGAAAAAATGCTCAACATCCCTAGTTATTAGAGAAATACAAATCAAAACCACCCTGAGATATGACCTAACCCCGTGAGAATGGCCCACATCACAAAGTATCAAAGCTGCAGATGTTGGCGTGGATGTGGAGAGAAGGGAACACTCTTACATTGCTGGTGGGACTGTACAATAATACAACCTTTTTGGAAGGAAGTATGGAAAGCCCTCCAATTGTGCTTTTTTGGGGAGGCATCTATTACGCACCCATTAACAAACTCAAAACACACACATGTGGAGCGTCCGTTCCACTCCACTGCAGGTAGCAGTGGTGCCTCAGAAGAAAACGGGTAAGGTCTCTGAGATTCTCATGAAGCTCATCTAGCCATCGCCATGATAAACTGCTTCTGTTATGTGGATTGATTTCTTTTGTTAAGCAAATTGCTATCCTGCTATTACTCATTCTGGGAAAGTAAAGTGTTTTTAGAGGTACAATACAAAATTAAAATTTGATTAATGCCATGCTCATATTAAATCATCTGGATCACTTAGCGTGACACACAAGATCCTTCACCATCATGTCCCTGCCAGCCTCCTATTTTGATTCACCTAAATTTTCATTTGATACCCCAAGCTCTTTCTGCATCAGTTAATCTGATTTTCCCCCAATACTATGCTGCATCACCTCTGTGTAAATTACTGTAACAACTAGCATCCCTGTCCTTTGCTCTCTCTCCCATTTCAAGTCTTAAATGTGACCTCCAACGTAAAGCCTTTTCTTTAGCTGAGAGATTTTCTATTACTTCTTGCAAAGTGTGTGTGTTTATCTGTGATGATTGTCACTGCAGGCTTCCACAACACTGTGACATCCTTAATGTTTCAAAATATTTAGTTTCTCTTCATTTTTGTTGTATAAACAACAACTCTTATACCCAATGGGAACAGTGGGAAAGACTATTTCCATATCTATAAAATCTAACATAGCATATGTAGCACATTGCTATAGAAAAATGTTTGGTCAGCAACTTAAAAGTGAAGTCACATCATTCAACAAACGCTACAATACCAGAATCTAAGCCCCAGGAGAAGAGAACATTTTGTCTGCCTTTTTAACCATTTTTTAAAAAATGACAAAAAACAGTATAGTTATTTGCTGAAAGAAAAAAATGAACAAATAAATAAAATGTGAAACTCATTCAGTCTTGCGAGCATATGAGATTATAATTTTACTCTCTCAAAGAATTAAAAACAATTATAGAGAGGGGCGGCCCCTGTGGCTCAAGGAGTCGGACGCTGGCCCTATATACTGGGGGTGGTGGGTTTAAGCCCACCCCCAGTCAAAACAGCAAAAAAAAAAAAAAATTATAGAGAGATGATTACTTTAGTTTAAAAGTTACAATTCCCTTGAAAATGTGAATGGCTGGTCTTTCAGTAAAGCAGACAGACTAACATCGATGTTGAAAATCTGAGAGCACCTTTTGTGCATGTCAGGGTAGCAAAAATGGGGGGAATTCAACTTTATTGTATCTACATCTCTAAAAACTACCAATATTTAACATATTTGATATAAAATTGTTATGATTTATAGTCAATGTGATCATAAAACTTATCCTTTTTTTCAGTATACTTTTAAAGTAAGAGAGACACTGTAAAAATGAAGACATAACCTGCAACCAGAACATAAGGCACCCCACCTCTATTACATAACTGCTGATTAATTTTCAGATGTGCACCATTATCAGGCCCAAATGGGAAGAAATATTAAGGCATCCAGTACTCTGCAATCATGATTTTCATTTATATTATGAAAGAAGAATAAAGGTGACTCTCTCTAAATGGGTGCTAAGCATATTTTATGTTTTTGATAGTTTCAAATAATCAAAGCCTGCATTCCAATAGATTTTCGTGACTAATAGACTTTAATAAAGTGAAAGATATTTTTCAGTTGACTTCAAATGGTCTTTCCCATTTTACCTGTCTGAACTTTGATTTGCTGAGTCCAACTTAATGTAAGAGTATATCATTCCCACTCTCCAGCTGTGATAGCTCATCATCCGTAATTTTTCACACCTACATATTTATTATCAGTTATGTTTTTTATTTTGTCCAAAGGGCAGTGAAGTAAAGATTTTCGAGTAATATGAAAAAAATCTCCACATATAAACACACTGTATTAAAATTACAGAGATACACGTCCAAGTACAATACAGACTAATTGGAGCTGGAGACACGCAGAGTGGGTGCCGCTAGGGACACCTACTAGCGTGTTGACACCCATGTGCAAGTGCTGTCCTGCTTTGGATCCTAAAATGCAAGAACTAACACCAAACTGGAGACATTCAAATAAACTCTGCTAAAGCTCAGTTAACAGGATTATGGCAATGTGAATTTCTTAGACTTTACAAATGGGCCAACATTATCTGGTACATGCAAAACGTTACCTTTAAGGGAAGGTCAATGAAGAATGTATGGAGACTATATATTACTTTGTAATAGATATTATATATTTGTAATTATTCTTAAAAAGGCTGAAAATTTGTATGCTTATAAGAATAAACAATAATTGCATGGAATAGTTTAATAATCTATTGATAGGTTTTGGGTGAAACTTAAATATCTATCATCTATCTATTAATATCTACATCTGTATGAACAATTTACTTGCTAAGAGTAAGGGAGTAAAAAATATTAATGAAAACACTACAATTCTGCTCAAATTTCCTTGAGGTACACAACATGTTTTTTTTTACCCAATTTATAGAAGTACTTGCCTTAAATAACATGTACAAATTTATATATATTTATAATGTACATATATAAATACATTTGCCATTAATACTTACATTGTTAACCACAGAATTAGAATTGAATTTTCTGCTGATGTTTTAACTTTAGTATTGCTTGAATCTCCTTTTTAACTTAATCACTTCCAGAATGAACATTATATTAGAGTAATAAAATAGACATAATATCTTTCAACAGGTAAGGTAATAAAAGTACATTTAATGGCTTTCAAAAAGTTCATAAATTTTGTTGCTGAAATTTAGTGCAGTCTATCTTTGTTGGATTAATATTGATTTTATGTTGCTGTTTCCCTGGGGTTATCTATGGAAGCAATAAAGCCTTCAGAAGAATGATCTATCACTCACCCAGAAGCTTCTTTATTCCTTGTCGCCTCTGAATATTGCTGAGCTCCGACTGGCAAGGTGGGTCTACAATGACATAAAAGTGTTACTTCAAGGATTACAGTTAAACACAGAAAGTGACATTTCTATGTTATCAAAGTTTTGCATGTCTTTAGAAGATACACATTGCATTTAATTAGTGTGTTTATGAAGAGACATTCGTCATTCATAAAGATATGGGTATATATAGATAGAGTGCAAAACTGTAAACCCATTTTTTCTTTTATTTCTGCAGTTTTTGGCTGAGGCTGGGTTTGAACCTGCCACCTCCAGCATATGGGGCCAATGCCCTACTCCTGTGAGCCCCAGGCACTGCCCTGTACACCCATTTTAAGAAGAGAAAAAACTGTGATAACATTGTAATACTCAATACATACCTATAATAAAAGATGAAAACAAGTTACATTGAGTACCTCTTATAATTGCAGAAGTCAAACATGACTTGATATTACAATTTTAATATAGTTTTTTTCTTGCTTAAAATGTGTATACTTTTTGTTGTGCCATCTGTATACACATTGTGTGTATGTGTGCGTGTGTGTGTGGAGAGAGAGAGATTGCACATACTACTTCCTATCAATAGTAGATCTCCTTGATTTTCTTCAGAATGACTGAACTGGCTAAAAAATTAAAAAGAAACACATTAGAGAAAAATACTTCTCATTGTTTACGTTTTGAAAAGGTCAATCCAGCAATTATAAATCCAACAATTGCTCAAGCAACTGATAATGTTTCCCCCCACTGGAAAGTTTCTGTGAAGTAGACAAGTAGTTTTCCATTTCAAAAGTGAACTCTGAAGAAGTAATGCTTCTCTCAGGTTCAGTCAGAGATTCCTTTGTAAATAATAATGTTGTATAATGTTAATTTAGTTTCACTGGTATATTCAATTAGAAACCAGAAATAATATATAATAATTTCTAATAGGCTATTCTTATATTTTAAACATAAACATAAAACATTTTCATGCTGAACAGTTAAGGGAGGATGTTTGTAGAGGAGTGTAAATTTCTAGATCGTTCCACTATAATTTGGCTTATGTTGTCGCTGTTGCCTGGGAATGTGCAGTTGGCCCTCCTAGCTGCAAGTTGTGATTCACAGGCTCAACCAACTACTAATCAAAAATAGTCAAAAAATAAAAGCAAATTATAATATACAAAAAAGACAAAAAATAAAATATAGCATTCAGATTGCATTAGGTATTACAAGTAACATATAGATGGTTTAGGGCAGACAGGATTTTCAGAGGTTATAGGCAAATATTGTTCGATTTCATGTAAGAAACTTGAGCATCCATGGACTCTGTGTTGGTGAGTGGTCTTGAAACCAGCTCTCCAAGGATGCCTGAGAGACAACTTAACTGAAAGCAATTTAATGCATTTTGTATTCATATTCTAAAAACTTGCTGTTAATGCTTCACAAATAAAAACTATCATAAACTAGTGAATCAGTAAAATGTAAACCGATTCCCACTGTCCTATAGTGCACCTTCTTAGAGGAAAGGCCAAGTAGCCCTTTAACTTCTTTCCACGTAAACCAGCAGTCCTATGCTTTTCTTCTTAATATGGCTTAATCACATCGACTTCCACAGAGTGGATATACTGGAAAAAGTTCATTGGACTGATTATTGCCAAATGATATTAGGAGTTTATTCACAATACCAACTTCTGTCTTTAATGTCTTTCACTTAATAGGAAAAAAAACTTGTTTAAAATTAATTAATCCCCATGACCCATACTTTACTACTGCTTTCTGTAGATTAAAGGAATAATAACCTCTTAAAATGTCATTTCTTTTCATTGAGTCACTGAGAAAAAATATTGAATAAACTATTCAATAGAAAAAATATTAAATAAACTGTTGAATGAAATAAGACTTGCCGACGTTACCTGTGCTGAATGGAACTTCCCAACACTTGCCCAGTGATTATCACTGGGGATTTTACACCTTACTACTTCTCCAGTTCTGAAGATAGAATTAAGACCACATGGAGATGGACATCAAGGGCTCTCAGTCCAATTCACTGCTCCTTCATGCACTCACTTTGAAATGTGAAGTTATTTAAGATCAGTAAGTTTTAGTCCTTCAGCATAAGAGGGTAATAATGATATTTTCACAGGGTGGTCTGAGTAATAAATAATTTATGTACATGAAAGAGTGGATGCAGCTGGATAAAAGTTAAGATTCTTTCTCTTTCCTTGACTGTATACAACAATTAGTGGGAAAGGAGGGAAGAGGGGAGGTTTGATAGAGAGAGGGTAAACGGAGGGACCACACCTATCTGTTAAGTATAGAACATAAATGTCTTAACACAACACTCAAGTAAAAAAGGAGAAAGCTATCTTGATTGGTTTGATGTAAGCACATCAGGTTGTATTAAAAAATCAACACATTGTGTTCATGATCTATGTGTTTATGACTTAATAAAAAAATCTAAAACTTCATCTACTTTTTTTAAAATTAGGAGCTTAGACATACTTCTTTAATGTACATTATTAACACTTGAGGAAACTAAAGTCCTAAATTAATATTCCTTCTAGTCACTCTTTCAGCATCACTCACAATACAGAATTCAACAAATTCTGATTATAGCCATTTCGTATTACTTAATTGTCATGACCTTCAGAAAATTAGTCATAGGGAAAAATTTGATTTTTATTTTAGGATAAACAACTCCCCTTAAAACAGCTGAAAAAAGTTTATAAATTAACAGATGTTCTTTTTCATGAAATTACTGACTGGTCTAAAATAATGCATGAGGAGAGAGTAGTGCTTCTGTCATGCTGACGGCCAGCATCGTAAAGCAATAAAGGGTTGGCTAAGAGTTTAGCCAAACGCTTCCAAGCTTTGCTAAGGTTGTGTGAACTCTTTTATTATCTTGGGTAACATATTATTTCTACCATGTATTAAATGATCTAAGAGTGTAAACCTTCCTATAGCTATATAAATTTTAACACTTCAGGAGAATGCATGGCAAGAAGACCACAACAAATTTCCCTTTGGGGACCTTCAGTCAACACTTCACATATTGCTGCAAAATCCATGGATGTTCTCAGATGAAAGGATTTAATTCTTGTAGATGAAGCATCAAGAGTTATGCAGAATATGTCTAATTCATGTATAAATACTCAAAATATGCTGTCGTAACACCAAAAAACTAAATAACTAAAATAACATTGTCATCATAACAAAAGACTATGTAACCATCTTCTCATGGCAGTTTTAAGTGGATTTGTTACTTTTTAATATTTAAATTTTTTAAATGTACACTAGTCATTAATACTAGGATGTAGTCTTTTTGGAGTGTTGAATTACCTAGAAAGCGCATATGTAATAAAATCACCAATATGTGTGTGTTTGTGTGTTTTAAAATATTTTCATACTGCAAATCTATTTTTTCAAGCTTTGTTTAAAGTTGTTTGTAAGTAGTTAAGCTATTCCAGTTAGCTAACCCTGATGGTGACTCACTTAGTAATGTACAAGTAATCATTTTATCCCTAATTACTTAACTATTAACAAATATGAAAAAATAATTGAGACAGTAAATTGCTTACATAATGTACGTTTTCTGTATCAAAGACTGAGAATCACGGCTACAGTTTAAAGCAGCTTGTTCCTTCTCTTAGCTGATGAGATGGAAGCACTGACAGTAGCCAGCATGGCCACATTAAACTAATTCCTAGTTCTTTTACTCAAATTAGCATCAAAAATATACTTTTCATTGTTTCCTTAGGTTCTCAAAACTGTATTATCATATGAGATTTGGGGCTTGGGTTTCCTGTACACATGGAATGTAACTTATCGACTGATTGATTCTATGAGTATGATTCCAATTTGTTTTACATTGTACATTTTCCAATACAGAAGGATCCACACTTCACTTTTCCAGAGTATTCAGACACTGTTTCTGCTGGTGAATATTTAAAAAGTTAAGCTATTTTGAAAAGTTTGAAGGACTAAGCCATTTTAAAACCAAATGAGTAAAAATAACTTTATGGTGAATGCTCTGGTTTATTCAGCTCATTTAATAAGATCACAAAAGAGAACATGGAAACTCCACAGCACAGTCATAAAAAACCCATTTATTTTACACCCTGGGCAAAGCAGATAGCAAATTAATTTTAATGATTACTTTTAATAGCTATGTTCTTCTATCTCTTTGTGCTCCTTAGTAGTTAATAATAGAAACTAGAATGAAGCACATTAATATAAAATATTAATTACTATTTCCCATCTTCGTTCGCATGTTTGTATCTCTGGCAGAGCAGTTTTGTCCAACATGCTGCTTATTTGCTCTTTTATGAAACACATGAATTAGAACACATCTATTGAAATGGATGGGATATAGTGCACTTTTTTAGCAGAAAAGAATAGATAAGTTTGACACTCAGGTCAACTATTTGCATCTGCAGAGGTCACATCTTTTACCTTGCTGTCTCTGGAAGCAATAACACCATTCATTGTTAGATATCAAACTATCCTTGTACGTGTCACAAGAATTGAAGAACGCCTTGGTGCACTGCTCATTCTTATCAAGGAAAATGCTCCCGAGCTCTGACTGGTCCAATAGCAGGTCATAGTTTGTATCGAGTCTGTTAAACATCCAGCCAAGTGAGTCCTTGCAAATTGGCAAGATGCTTGTATCAAATCCTGAAGGCAAAGACAGAAAATGATTGGTTAAATATGAAAGGGGAAAGCAAACAGAAAAAAACCTTAACATAGCAAGTCGTCAGTGGAGGGCGTCTACTGACTAGTCAGAAAAGTAGAGCATTAAATTCATGGTGAATAAACTGTTCCAAAGTTAAGCAGATATATTGATATATGTCATTCAGAAGAGTTATGAGCATTAATTATGCAGAAAGCATCTGGAACAAAGCACCCACTCTTTCAATGGCAGGTACTATTGTAATTATACGTTATTTATATTATCTTATTGTTCAAGATTCTTCTAAATAAACATATCATGATAAATGTCTTACTAATCATATGTAATTTTTTTTTAAAAAATCCTATTAATAAAGAAATAAAATTAATTTTCATTCTAAGAAGTGAAAGTGTCATTTTATCAAGATCATAATTTACACATACTAAGTAATAACTTTAATAAAAGGCCCTGTGTCCTGATAGAACTATCATGGTATTTCACATACACCTGATATCCAGAGAAGGAAGAACTCTGATGTCATTACACAGCTTCTCTGTCCTCTACCCTCCTCAGGACGACTTTTCTGACTACATCTGTGTTGTAACTGCAGGCTGGGCTGTGCTGGATGGAAGTGCCAGAACGGGGTTTGTACAAGCCATGTACTATCAAAGCTGGGTTACTTCCCAGGCAAGTAACAGAACTCAGTACGCCTCATCCCAAATAGCGTAAGACACAAGATCAGTGATTTGAACAATTAAAAACCATTGCTTTCAACAATTTTTACTTTTCAGGTTTTAGGAAGCTTTAAAATGTTTTTGGACTAATGTAGTTTTCATCTTATTTGCTAGCTTCCCCTCATTACAATTAAACTAATAACTCAGTTATCTAGCATAGAAGGAAGGATGTGTTTGGAGAAGCAGAGACTTCTGAAAACTGAATATCAAGGGGATTTAATCTTCAACAGCAGAGCTGGAAGAATAATTTAAATGTAGTAGTTAATTTTCTGTTCAGAATAATTGCGAGAATTAATTAACCTGAAAGTATCTGGTACCAATCTAGTTATTAAATCTATGTTGACAGTTTCAGTTTGTTATACTTTTTGAGTTATTAAAAAACTGAAAATAAAAATGTGGATACTTAGGATTAAAAAGTAAATATGTACAGGGCAGCACCTGTGGCTCAAAGAGTAGGGCGCCGGCCCCATATGCCAGAGGTGGTGGGTTCAAACCCAGCCTCAGCCAAAAAATAAAAGTAAATAAGTACAGAGCGTAGAACATTTGGGGGCTTGAGAAATTTATAATTTTACCACCTATTGGAATTTGTTTTATTAATTTATTCACAACAAAGTTAGTATTTTATATCTGTGTATCACCATGTTAGACAATGGGGTTACAGAGATCTAAGGAGTGACATTGTGCATAGATAGAAAAGGAATTTTAGCCATTTTTTTCTTGCCTGTATTTTCTTTATAAAATTGTTTGCAGAATCAAAATAGAATTTTCCCACTCATACAAACAAATGATAAACAGGAATTTCTCATTTCCTATTTATTTCACAGGCCCTGACCTCAGTTCTGGGAATACAGTAAAATATATACATTATGCCCCTACTCTCTTGATGCTTCCTTTAAAACAGAATGGTTTGAGATACTGGTTTGAACTGTTCTTTACTACCAGAAGATGTCAAAAGCCCAGGAAACATCTAGTGACCTATAGAGAACAATTACGTTAAATTTCCCACTACCATTCAAAGAAACTGAGTCTGTAGTTTAAGATTTCTAGTTTGCCCTTGATCTAAAGCCTGTTAATGAAGGAGAAACAGGCATCTGATTCCAAGAGGAATGTCTGTTTCTCCACCTGGTGACTGGTCCTGGCATTGCCAGAGTGGGAAAAGAGGCCTGGGGAAAGAGATGGTTTAAGACACGCGACAAAAGGCAAAGACAGGGCTGGGATTCAGCCAAGCCCGAGAGGAGGCTCAGACTCAGTTTGACAGATACAAAAGTTAAAGGACGTTAACTGCACACTGCTGCAGGTAGAAGGAACCGCCCAGAGAGACCGAGCTGGCTGCTGCGGCTGGGGCCTTGCCAGCCAGGCCTTCCTGCTCAGAGAAACATGCACACCAGCATAAATGTCAACAGAGACCTAAGATACAGCACAAAGTGTGCACGGGCTAAGAAAGGAAAATGCTGTATTAAAATTGTAATACTCAAGTCGCGTTTGCCTTCTGCAAATACAAGAGGTGCTCCACATGACATGGATTCATCTTTTGTTACTGGTATATATTGAGTATAATAATTTTAAGAGTTTTATCTTTTCTTAAAATGTGTACGCAATTTTTGGTATGCTTTATATTTTTTGAAAACATCCAAATAAAATATCTAGAAAGGAAACATAATAAATGACATGAAATACGTGCTGAGTAGTATTAAAAGCACATTAGATATTGCAGATTAAAAAAAAAGAATCCATGAACCAGAGGAGACATGATAGACACTATCCAAAATAAAACATGTTGAAAAGAAAAAAAGAAACTGAGAAAGAAAAACCAACTTGGAGCTTTGCTGAACTGTGAGACGTCTCTCACCTTAACACGTGAGTGACATGAGGACACCCCATGAGGAGTCTCAGAGGATACTGAGAGCACGGGGGTCCAAAAACTGTATGAAGAAAGAGCAGCTGCAAATGTTCTGAGCGTGAACATTTACATAGTTCAACTATGTAAGAAGCACAGTTAACACCAAGCCTCAGAAAGAAAGAAAACCAAACAAGGCACACCATAACCAAACTGCTGGAAGTCAGCATAAAAATAAAATCATAAAATTAACCAGAACAGCAACAAAACAAGACAAATTTTATACAAAGAAACAAAGATGAGCGTGGCATCAAGCTCTGACGGTGGGATGCTGAGGTCCCCAACAATCACGATGGCGCTATTATTTCTTTGCTTAGCTCTGGTAGGATTTTCCCGCTTGATGTATCTGGGATCTCCTGTGTCGGGGGCATGTAGGTCCGGGCTGTTAAGTGTTCTTACGTAAGTGTTCTTACAGGCTCCCTTATGTAATGACCCTCTTTGTCTTTCTTTACCTTTGAGGGCTTAAAGTCAGTTCAATTTTTTGAGTTGAACCACAAAGGGAACCCAAGCTATCAAAAGCTATCAGATCCTTACTTGAAGTAAAAAATGCCCTTGGGATTTCCTTTCATCCATTACTGTATCTGGAAGAAAATGAATACCAAGGCCATCCCTCTTCCCTCTGGGGTAGGAAAGGCATTACAGAGAAACTTTTGGCTGAAGGTAATGACTGCTTTTTTACATTATTTTTTGCATATTCCCTTGTGCTCTGCACGTGCTGTAGGGCCATGTTGACACATAAGAGGTCACAGTTGCAACACGGAGCACTGTGATTGCAGTGACATTAGCGGTGGCAACGCCTTAGTGGACAGAGAACAGTGATGCACACTCAGCTCTGCGTCTCCCTCTGTGGTGCCCTCAGGTTGTCTCCCCATCACCTAATTCAAAAGTCCTGGAGGCTCCATCACTCTTCCACCAAGCTGCTGCATGTCCCATTTCACTCCTGCCACCACCAAGATCATTGCTAGATTCATTCCTGGACCTACACACATGCCATGTGAAAACCAGGTATAAATGGCCACTTCCTACATACACCCACTTTTCTCCTTGGTCCTGAATGATAACGTCAGAATTGTAATTAAGAATAGTCTGTTAACATCAATCCAGTAAATCCTCAGAACTTGAAGAAAGTCATGCAAAATCAGCATATGTATGGATTATTGTAATCTCACTTTAAGTTATAATCAATCTTAGAATTACTGTGAAGACAGCACTGTACATGAGGAAAGTTCCTCACAAACAGTTATAATTTGTCCTCAATCTTCACTTTTTCTTACATTTTAGACTTATAGAACACTGGTGGACCAAATATTAGAAATAACAGTAGAATTCCAAACAAACAAAAAGTACATAAAATGCATTTTAAAGCCATTCAATTCTATCTGCTTCTAGTAATTCTAGAAATGTCACATTCAGAATTTGTTACTTCTATTACATTATTCTGAATGTCTTTGGTACTGTGTCTGAATTACAATGTGACCCCCTAAGTATGATAATGGTGACTATTTTTTGTGATATATGCCCAATTTCCAGGAACTTACAATTCACGCCGTTATAATAAAGGTGAAGTAGCCACATGTGAAATGACTCTCTAATAGTTACCAAATACGATCAGACACGCTATTCTATCAATTAGATGAAAGACAGAAGAAACTAAGGGACAATTTACATTTATAAAATTGAAATATGGTATTAGGTGAGACAGTGATAGAATAGAATACTCACAAATAGTGTTTAGGAGTCTGGATATTGCTTAAACTAAGCTTTTTTAAAATACAGAAACAATGTACGGTACAGTTGTGAAAAAACTGCTTTAAGGATGAATTCAAACTGCTGGATATGGTTATACGTGGTCAGTCACCACAAGGTTTCTGGTATCCTCTGATTTTATCGGTGTTATTTCTTAGAGCATTGTTTTTTATAAGAGTCTCCTCTATTAGTTATGATCATTTTTATAAGCTTTCATGACAATTTTTCTAAACAAAGGTAACCGGGTCTCACATCTTACAAGAAATATGATACTTGGAATTTTTTTTTTAATTTAAGCATTGTCTTAGTAATTTACCTATATTGTAAAATTCAAGTCATAGCCTTAAAGTCTTTCAACATTTAAGCTAAAATTTTTATGGTATTATGAGATTTTGTCAAACGTCTGGAAACTGAAACTTTATTTTACAATGACAGGCAATTATCTGTTGTTTTGTAACTGAGATATTGTTCAGTAATCACTAAAAGGATTATAGGGTTTAAAACTAATTAGCATTGTTTTTGTGAAACAATTTATACCAGAATTGGTGAGAGAAGATAAAGCTTAACTCTTAGGACATTTTACAACATTCTTTCCTCCTATCCATTTTTTTCTAGTTTTCCTCCTTTG